CTTACTACTTGTACTACTATCCCTACTTCGTGGTTTTTCACTTATCGCGGGGCTCTTGGTACAGATCTCCCAAGATAAACGAGGGACTACTGTATATATAAATAAATAAATACAGTAGCCTAGCAGGAAGTCAATGATCGCTATCCATCTTCCTCCTGCGCGGTTGTCAGGATTCACCAGCAGACTTGAGCAAAAGTTGCTCTGTGCATGTTCCCCATTCTCTCCTCCCCTCTCCGTTTCATTGGTCCACTGTGACTTGTTCGGTCATTTAAATGGTCTGGTTATTAATTTTTTAATCTTTACATATACAGGTAGTCTCATTGGGTCACGAGGACCCACCCCCTAAGAGAGACATGTATTGGGCAGCTCTGTGAGAGCCCGGGTGTGACAAGGCTAAATGTTTTGGCGGCATGATTCTGAAACAGTCAAAAATAAATAAATTCCATAAATTAGCCGCAGCATTGTATAAGCCGTGGGGTTCAAAGTTTGTGAAAAAAGTAGCTGCTTATATTCCAGAAATTACGGTAGTTTAACTGTTCTTGGATGACAAAAGCTCTGTTTATATAGAATTTACACCAAAAAGGACGAACCATGAGCTCGTTAACCTTTAAATTCACTCTTGAATCTCATTCTTTATGTTACTTACCATCCACATCACCCATCCCAACCACGTCCTTCCTCACCCTCTTCTTCTTACGTTTTGGAGCTGGAAGATCTGAGTAACATTTAAAAAGCGTCTAAGTGAACTAAATCAGGGAAAACGGTTCCCAAACACGTCCGTAACTAATTTGGACCCACCTGCTGTGTCTCCGCTTCAAAGCAAAACAAAACAGAAGAGGGGTTTAGTTTGAAACTTTATTAAACTGAATTTAAAAAAAGAAAACATTTAGTCTTACCAGGACATTGTGGGAAGGGTTCGCTGCCCTCGCTGACGAGACACAAAGACAAAACGCACGTCACTTTTTTATTTAAAAAAGGTCTAAAGTGGCGACAAGAACCTGTCGACGCCGAATATGCTTCATTTTATGGATCAGCAGTTTCTGCCAGTTTTTTGAGGATATTATCATTAATGGGCAGAGGATTTAAAATAAAATATTAAGAGCGTCAAATAATGAAAATGCAGATATAGATCTACTTTCAGTAAAATTCATCCTAAAATAAACCATTTGACGGTTTATTTACTTTTCCTTGTTACAGTTTTTGACAGCTTTTTAGGCTTTAGCTGTCAAAAACAGTCAGTCATTGCCGACTGTTTTTCACTTCTAAATGTCGTTTTATTTTGATTTAAGAAACATTTCAGTGAAGTTAAACTGATTTTGTTTTTAAACTCATGAACCGGGAACTTAATCAACACTTTCACTTTTTAGTACAACATGTGCACTTCTTAAGTTTTTATAGCAGGACAAAAGGTTTAGCCCATTTGTTACTAAAGCAGTCGGGTAATCATGTAAATTTTGGACGTGTTTATGCCTATTTTATTCAAAAATGATCAAAACTGCATGAATAAAGAGAATTTAGACAAATGAATTGCATACACAGACAATAAAAAAAAAACTTCTGACTAGAAGCAGTTTATTAACAAACTAGAAAGTTCCTGGAGAAACTTTAACGGGGGGATGCTGCCCGTTTAAATTGTTGATTTGACAGTACTACCAGGATACTGGATTTCAGCTGAATCGCTCTAAAAATGGTTCTTTATCATATTTTTTCATTTTTAGCTGAGGCGGCCATCTTGGAATTTTTATTTAGATTCAGTATGCAGAGTTTCCCTAGATAAATTGCAATGACGGGACACTCATCTCACATCCTGAGCTGCACAGCATGCTGTTATATACAGTTGTTTCCTCTTTTTTTTTGGGGGGGGGGGAGACAGCCGTGCGCTGCTTGCACCGACAGTTTGGAGCAGGGGTGGGGGAGAGGAGAGAGACACATTGCCGTCTGTACTGACAGTATTTTTTGTGTGTGTACGTGTGTGTGTGGGGGGGGGACTCATACATACATTACCACGGTGCATAACAGTTCAGACATAATAAATAAGCTTACAGTAAATAAATAAATAAATATGAGTGAAATGTTTGATGTGTATAACATCACGTATCAAAACAACGGCATTAATTTGTCAAAAAAAACAACAATCAAAATGTCGAAAAGACAATTTATTATTTAAAATAAATGGATGGATGGATTGTCCTTAGCTGGACAACAGAGGCAGTGGCAACTGAGATTGGAGCAGAACAACTCGCAGGACTGAACTCGGCAGAGTTCGGGTCGAACAGTGTGTGTGTTGGGGGGGCGGGGGGGGGGGGGACGCTTGACAGAATCGGAGCTGAATTCACACACAGGCCTGTTAAATGTTGTTGTTGTTTAATCAAATGTTTACAGATGTTTAACAACTTGTTAAAATACACCAAAATGCAGGAAATGGCATCTCTTTTATTCCAAACACCCCCCCCACCCCATTCGGACCGCCTGCTGTTTGTGTTCCAACATCAATTGGTTTACAAATTAAGCCCCCGGGGGGTGTTCGGTAGGTGGGGCGCTCAGTTCTGTTGATGGGGCGCCCCGCTTGTATATTGGTAGGGGAAACACTGGTATGTGATAGGGATCGTTCTCAGCTACCACACCAAATTGCAGCTGAATCGCTCTAAAAATGGCAGCGTCATCGTATGTTTTTTATCTTTTAGCTAACGCGGCCATCTTGGAGATTTGATTTGCGTTAGGAATGTATAACAACTCGCTCTCAGCTACAACCATACCAAATTTCAGCTCAGTATCTCAAAGAATGACCGAGTTAGTCAATTTTGTGTTTGCTGAGGTAGCTGTGGCAGCCATCTTGAATCAAAATGGCTCCAAACGTTAATCTGTTCTAGACTTTATCTGACGATTACTTTCTGTGAGTTTCAAACAAACCCAACAGTGAGTTTCTGTTGTTCTTCAGGGACATCTACACTCCAAGTCATGTGACCTGACAGCAGCAGTTAGTGTGTGTTCTCTCTTTCATATCCTACGGGGAAATATGGCGTCTTTGTTAGCAAAATACGTCGCCACGATAACTCCAATTGTCAATAAAAGTAATGGCCCTAATCTTGAGATTGAGTTGGTCGTTTTGATATAACTTTTGTGGGAGCACACTTTGCGGTTCGGGCCGCATTAAAGGTGACGGAATGCTCATTAGGGCAATAGGTGCCTTCTATGCATTGCAATGGCAGTCCCCAATTATTTTGTTTATGTCGCATTAAGTGCAGTTTAAACAAGATTAGTTTCTTCTGGAAATAATAATTCAAGACTCAAAGCTTTGAAATGATTTGACAAAAATGTGTGAAATTTTCTCATTAAAAAAAAAACAAAAAACAAGAGCACATAAACAACACGTTTTAACCCAGACACCGACGTAACAGCTGAAGTAGTTGCCACAAAGTTTCGTCAAACAAGAGCAAAAGAATCTTACCATCGTCTCTCTTGCCATTTCAATCAAGAACGGATTCAGAGCGGAGCGAAGCAACACGACGTCCTGACCGTTAAATCCTCAACTAAATCTGCCTGGACTGAGGATTACTCAGGGGTCAGAGGTCAAACCTTTTTACAAAGACTTGTGTGGGATTGTTTGTTCGAAAGAAACGTTAAGGAAGTGCGTCGGTGGAATCTGGTTTAATCTTGTTGACACTGCTGATGCAGCACATTTTTATTCCTTCTTTATACTTTTTCGGGTTTTTGACAGACATTTAAATATATTTGTGAGGACAAAAATTTGTGATGCTTGGGACAAAAAGTGAGTTTTCATTTTGCTTTGGTTCGTTTAATGCTATATGGAGTGAATAACGTTTATAATGTGCAGAAATTACTCATACTTATTATAAATTGATTTATTTAATAAACCTACGAAGCCCTCCACAACCTAGCTCCATCTTATATTACAGATCTTATTGTTCCATATTTTCCTAATAGAGCACTTCGCTCTAATGCCCCTTTTGCACTGCCCCTAATAAGCCCCAATTCTGGGCAGCCCGCCACAGAAAGAACCCTTTTGCACTAATACAAACCGGATTCAAAAAAAGTTGGGACACTAAACAAATTGTGAATAAAAACTGAATGCAATGATGTGGAGATGGCAAATGTTAATATTTTATTCGTAATATAACACAGACTACAGGTCAACAGTTTAATCTGAGTAAATGTAACATTTTAAAGGAAAAATATGTTGATTCAAAATTTCACAGTGTCAACAAATCCCAAAAAAGTTGGGACAAGTAGCAATAAGTGGCTGGAAAAAGGAATTGAGCATATAACGAACAGCTAGAAGACCAATTAACACTAATTAGGTCAATTGACAACATGATTGGGTATAAAAAGAGCTTCTCAGAGTGTCAGTGTCTCTCAGAAGCCAAGATGGTAA